TGGAGTTGAAGTCGACTGCTGCGAGATCAGCGCGTTCGTCCTCGAAAAGCTGTTCATGAATTCGGTGATGATAAAGAAACTCAGTGGGCATTACGCTTCTGACAGCAAATTGACGCAGAAGGTCGCTGATGCATTTTGCAAAGGTACACTACTCGCTATATCGATTACATCGAAGTCGAAGATAACATGTACGCTTACGGTAGAATAAAAAGCAACCATTCCTAGGGCCAGCTCATAGGTTTGCTAGGACATTTCAAGCTGATGTCACATCCGCTGCTGAGGAAATGCTGAACTTCTTATAAGAAACGATTCATTTTTAAGTTTGAGTGTTTATTGCATGAATGACTAGTTTTAAGCAAAATATTATGGCTGTTAATATCTACAAATGTTTTATGGTTACATCCTTCGCACAAACTGGAAAGAAATCATGATGAATGAATTGGAGAGGTGGGAGGTGAAAAATTAGGATCTTCACCAAGATACTCTACCGTAAATTTATTAAACAGGTAATTCAGGTAATGTTTCAAAAACGGTAGAAAACGAAGAACAGTTCTTACACACCATAGGGCACCGAAAATTTCAGTTTGACATTCACCAGGTTTCTGACGATCCCAAACTAACTGAGAGAAAACGTTCATGCAAAAATGTCCTTATATGCTAAAATCTGATGAAAGGCATGCGTAATGAACATCGTTTGCAATGCTCTTACAAGAGGGTAAAAATCGTTGTTAAGAATATTTTTGTTTTTCAGACTACGCATTGAACCTAGTGATCGTTTGTTGCTAATTTGTCAACGGATTTTTAATGACTGTTTTGCTTTTTTGCAGGCATAATTGAAATGAACCTGCCGGCGTTTATGCGAGAGCTGTTCTACAGTGAGCTGGACTATCACTTTTACGTTTCGTAAGTTTAAAGGAAGCTGCTGCAAACTGGCAGTAATCACTGTGCGTGACTGTGTGTTCATTTTCAGACAAAATCCTTTTTGGTTTGATGTATACCGCGAACTTTACAAGAGCTATTTTCCGTTTGAACGGAAAAAAGAAGACTGCTCACCTTGTTCATGCGTCTCGTTGATCGACAACCAGACGGCGGCGCGCAACTATAAAAGCTTATGGTCAGAGGTACATATTTCTGACAATTCTTTCGATTTGGGCTGCGGACGGTTTTGTCAGGCTCTCCATCATAATACTGCTTGAGTATTTCATTCGTACGGTGGTGATCATACGGAAACCTGAAAGTACATAAAAACATGGTTTATTCGTTCATAACGCCGATAGATGGATCCACTGGATGATTATCCTCTACTGACGCTTTGGTTAATATGTCAAAGGCCTTCTTCAACTACGTAAATCAAACCTATCCGCCTAAAATTTTTATCTCCCTCGTTTCGCCCATTCATGAATAAAAACTCAAAGCCCCGTCCTTTTTTAGATGGTGGCATGCGACATTTTGTCATCGGTGAATTTCAAAGATGAGAAAAGCGTGAAGATGTTTTGTGAAAAGTACGATAATCCCTGATCGTTTGCATTATTTATATGGCAGTTTGTAGGTTTAAAGAGCTGTACTTAGCGAACGATGGCTCTAACAGCCAGTTGGAAATTTTCACAAAATTTACGGGACGAAGCTTTCCGAAAGTTGGACCTCTGATCGAATCTTGGATGCTCGACCCTCAGTCGTCAAATTAGATGAAAACTGTTACTTGATTAGCTTATTGTTGTGAACGCTAGTTTATTAGCGTTAGTTACTGTAAGATGGGAATAAAGTATTTCGTCTGTGTTACTGTTCGATTATTCTCATTAATTCCTTTAACAGTTTTTACTCTCCTTTCTGCACTTTGCATTGAATGTTGACTTCCTTTAACAATTTTTCTCTTTTCTCTGCACTTTGCATTGAAAGAGTGATGAGAGCCGAGTGCCATCTCTTAACGGCTTAACCTTAGGCATTCGTGTATATTATTTCTTGTAGCTTTCACTATTTCTTGTGAGGCATGTAGGTTTGAAATAACTTCGATATTGTTTCGCCAGAATAAAAATTCCTCGACTGACAGTGTTCATTCTGATCTTCTGAGTCGCCCTCAGTCTTATAGGTTTATATCATGAAACGTGACCCTCTTCCATGAATAAGTAGGTTATGTATAATTTTCTTTCTTCTTACAAGGCTAATATCAGTTTTGGCTATCTCTGCATGTAACTCATCGATGTTCGACACTGGCCGTAGTTTTCTATTTTCTCAAAACCCCCGTAGACTTTTCATATCTCTGACCATGACACACTGCGGAGTAGCAATAGCAGCACGCCAGGTGCGACGATACCCTGTGTCGACATCGATCTTAGGAACGGAAAGAAACCGATCGATAATATTTTAACCCACTAACCGTTCCCCCATGAGCTATGGATAGGTTTCTTTCTCTTCCTAGGCATTTCGATTTAGAGCATTTCTACTCTATGCTTAGTGGAGAACCACCTAGGATTGTTTCTACACTGCCTGCATTAAGGTCGTGTTTAAGTATTCTTTAATGTTATAGTCTACTCTGAGTCATTAAACTTGCATCGAATCGCTTCATCAATGCATCGGTTCAAGGCTACTGATGTCATTGTTATTTCTGCATAATTTAGTCTCTGATATACTCCACCTGAAGATGGTATGTTAATTGCTGTGCCTTGTTTACCAGCATATGACTTATGCAGAGAGTTGGAATGTTGGGCACCTTTGTTCACTTTCTATTCTCTTGAGCGGAGTAAACGAACATAAAAATAACAAGGAAATGGGTACTACACAATGGGTATACTGCATTTGAGATATTGCTATTCTACATAAAGCTGTCTTGGTGTACTGCATTGAAACGGGCATCAATTCAAGAATAGTTCTTAACTGAATAATGGCAAGAAATAGAAGCGTGGGAAACTGTTAACAGTTCTAATTAATAATCTGAAAGCATTAATTTCTTTGAGATGTTCCTTTGAGTATGGATCACTGGAAACGCGCTTTCTCTTAAATGTAATTTTAGTATCGTTAGTCAGCCATCAAGAAGATTCTTCTGCGTCCACATGGCTTTGAGAGTTTACGGTTCATATTCAATGCGGTGATTTAGGTGAAACGTTACAATGACGGACGATCAGCGAACGACCACGATGAAAGCTGTCAACGATTTCGGCTTTCTGAAGTTGCAGGAAGTGCTGATGGATGCCCCGGAAAAGAAGTTGATGTGCATCCATGCTAAGAGCACGGCCGAAGGTGACGAAAACCAAGGCGCGGATGCAGTAGTGATCTTCGAAAAGCACCCATTCACGGTAGCCTCTATCGAGAAGATACTCAGCGGTGACGTGCGCATGACGTTGCTCATGGAGAATGACGTCTACAGAACTTACGACCTGCTGGCACCACAGGAACTGAATGGTAGGTCAAAGGTAAGGAAAGATGTTAAATCAATCACTGATACCTTGAATTAGTCATCAAAAGTACTCTTATTTACCCGGCCACCGAAAGGCATATAGAAAAGTGGAGGGTACATGACATGGAGATGGTCGAAGAAAGCGCGGCCACTTACAAAGCTGTCACGTTGCCTTTTCTGCAAAGCAATCAGTTTAGCATTCAGGTTTGTACAGTTTCATGCTGTTAGAAGTACTTCGTAATACGATTGCAGTTCACTTGTTGTAGTGGGTTTACAACATCCTAGAAGGTCGGGCTGAAAACGATCGCATAATCATGGACGAAACCGACCCGAAAGACGGCTTTGTGCTCGCTCCGGACCTAAAATGGGATGGCAAGACGCTCGAGAACCTGTATGTAACGGCGATCGTTCGACAGCGAGGCATCAGGTCTGTTCGAGACCTCACCGCCGATCATCTAAATCTGCTGAAAAGCATTCGCGAACGAGGATCGGTAAATACTAAACTGCTAACAGTTGCTGAACGTTACCATCATCTCTGGCAATTACTTGGTTCCCTCAAGTTACAAATAGTTACAGAGCTCTCTGTAGGCGAAGTCTGAAACTTTCATCGTAGTTGTCGTTTTCAAAGCTTGCAATTGTTTGACAAATACGCAAGCACTTTAAATTAGCTACGGTTCACGTTGTTCCGACCTGAAACACATCCAGCTTTCACATAAACCTATCAGCATGTCTATGTTTCTTACTTATGGAAACATTTAATTCCATTATCAGTTTAGCCTGTCGTTAACCTATCGAAATTGCCTGACTTACCTGCATTATAAAATGAACGATCCTAGCGTGCAAAATATAGTTCGCTGTATACCGCGGAGTAGTTATGCCAAGGAACCATAAAACAAACATGACACTTGCATATCTACAATGAGCAAAAATCTATGAAACTGTCACAACCAGGATGGGTTTATTTTCGCTGTACCGTAATGAAGGTCGAAGGGCCAATACCCGGACGAAATTCATTTTTTACAGATCATGCTTCTCTCAGTTTTCTGTATTCTGTATGTTGAAGTGAATGCGGCGATGACTGATTGATGAGTCTTTACCATTTACAGGAGGCGATCGAGAAGCGGTACGACGTTAGGCGATCGTCCTTGCGCATTTTCTTGCATTACCAGCCAACGTACTACCATCTACACGTGCATTTCACGCACCTGAAAAGCGAAACCATGAGTCAATCTGCCGGCAAAGCCATCTTACTTGATGACGTCATCGACAACGTTCAGCTCTTGTCCGATTACTATGCGACAAAGACGATGCACTTTGTCCTGAAAACCAACGACCCGTTGTATCTAGAATTTGTTGCTAAAGGTGTAATAAAATCTGCGTAATGCTGTTCACTTTAATTGCATGCCAATTAAACTTGATCAGTTATTTGTTTTAGCGGAATAAAATGTGCAACTGTGAGTAGATGAAGCGCAGGCATGAAGAAAAAATCCTAATTAAACTACTGATTATTAATGGTAATTCCGTTGAACAAGGAATTCACCCCTCTGTACTTTGACACAATCGGTCGAGAAAAAGATGTTCGACTGGCGAACAGCTAGGACAGCACGACATCGCCATGTCCAATTTTGCAAGACAAACGGTTTGGGCCTATGTGATGCATGAACCGCACGGCTGCATTATAGCTAACTAAAATTCAGCATAAGGTCTAATAATTCGTAGATTTGAATAAAAAATTTAACTTAGCTTCCAAAAAACCGGATTTCACGGATGGTCTGTTGATCTTTGCACATGAAGTTCTATGGGAGTTATTTGCAGGCCATAGCTCACTGATATCCTTGAGAACATTGGTATACAGCCGATGCTTTTCCAGATGGAGAAATCACATCTGCGATGGTTTGGACATGTACTGAAAAAGCTAACAGAAGAGGAGTCGAAAAAGCCACTGTTTGCTCAATGAAACGGCCAAGAATAACCTCAGGTAAATACCTCGACAAACTCTTCTCCAGACACAAGTTATCTCTTACCGAAGCTCAAATGTTGCTACCGAGTAGGGAACGTTGGGTACAGTGACGCGTCTGCTTCCTCGATTCGAAAGGCTATGTGGTCATCGAAACTGATTGACTGAAGTGCAACAAACACAACACATTGCTTTACTTGGTAAAGCACCTACACATTGCCATATATGAAATCTTATTTCCAAGTAACAGCGACAAAGTATAACAGGTCAACGCCGACGGATAAAACTGTAGAAAAGAAAAACTTTTCCTTCTAGGACATACTAATCGAATAGAAGGTGTGCTGCTCACAGAAGTGTGATCGGTGGAAGCGAAACGGCTGGAAAAAATCAAAACATTGCCATGTAGCTGCCATCCTGGCCGAAGCCGGACAAATTCGCCTCGCTTCCGAAAGGAGGTAGGCTCATTGGTCTCTGAAGGTTGCCGGAATA